TGAGATGTGTCTGGCTCACACACACACACACACACACACACACACACACACACACACACACATCACAATTCCCATGACATCTCGATTGCTTACCTTGCTAGTACGCGCATGTGTCAATTTGTGTGTGTATGTGTGTCTATGTTCATTCCGCCTCCCTCTGAAAAGTCATATCGGGCCATGCTCCACTGATACCAAAGGATCATGAGCTACCAACACTTGAGCCATTGCTTACGTCGGCTGCAACCTAAGCTACATAAGCTACAAATCAAGCGGCTCCAAAAATACACCAGTCGATCATGTTTGGTCGATATACGCATCAGTATTGACCAGATTCACACGTAACGAGGTCTGTCAAAATATATCATACATTTTATGATACTTACGGAATTTTATAAGTTGGGATGTTTTACAAAAATGTACCCTTCTGAGGATAGACTCTGAATTTGATAATCTTTAGCACTGAAATCATACGGTCTCATTAAAACGCCTCCACCACACAATGTAAGCCGGGTGAATTTGAGCGAAGGTATGACAGTCACAAGTGGCTGCACGCACGCAGGTGCGAGCTGCCTTCGAACAATCTTATTGTCAAACAAAAACTAGTCAGATACCGAAAGATACGCAAAATCATGGAGACATTCCAACTTTTCGATTCAGTTTACACGATGGGAACACTACCGTGGGCGTTCGTAACACCACAACACTATATTTATTAATTCCGCAGTATCAAATAATCCACGGTCGAGTGACGCGTGAAAAAACCCATAAGACTAAAGGTTTATCAAAGTACGGTGCCACAACACATGTTTGGCGATAAATGATAAAGTGTACAGTAAACAAACCTCAAACTGTGGGACAATGCGGTAGAAACAGCTCACCGGAAAACCGTGAAATTAAATCAATACAACGGGAGACGATCAAAATGTTTCGTGTCAAGCAATAACAACAATGAGTCGGGCAAGGTTCGTGCACATGCAAATGAGGACCAGTGACCAATCGAGGCCGATCAAATGTCGCGGTTTCAAGGTCAAGAACCCCAACGAGCTTGTCGTTCACGTGCGTGCGTCCGTGATACCTGAATCAGACGGTTGTGTATGGGATTGCAGGGTTTACTTGCTTGTGTGTGTGCGGGCGTGTTGAAACAAGTCAGAACGTGGACAGAAACAGTAGAGACATGAGGACAAGCCATGTGTGTGAGGGGGACATGTGTAATGGGTCGCACAATGTTTTGATTGCAGGGCTAAATGGAATCAACAATATTAAACAGCAAGACCAGATCGAAACATAGTTACACACGGACTATCAGAAGCGAGGTTTTTTCGACGATGATGCCCAGACTGATTGCTGGATTCCATCTTCAAGATCAGTGAAAAACTCCAAATCAACTATGTAGTCATCCACAATATTTCGGTGACAATCACCTTGAATTTGGCGTTATGTTGAAATGTAGCGATCGTTGTTCGTTGTGAGTAAATCGATATGGTAGTATGGCAATAACACAATGCGTTTCATCTGTTTTATTTATTTAAATACTACCAAGCAAAAGAGGTTAGTTGGCTGCTTCAAAAATTACATTTTTGCCTGAGACTCAGATGATTCCGGTCGACGTTCTTTCATTTTTCAAGAGTCAGTCTAAAATTTGTGACCGTAATGACTTCGATAATGAGCAACTAAGGCTTCGAAAACCGTGAACCTTCAACTTTTTGCTGCATGTACTAATTGGTAACTATATTCATCTGCTTTTGTAACAATATGGACATGGATTTACGTGGAAATGATGTAGGGTAACGATTATTTCGAATTTCTTTGTCTCAAAACGTTTTCCGTCTTTTAAAAAATTCTTTTCACAGAAATATTACTTGGGAAAACACGAACAACCGGGCAGAGTTTCGTTGGGCATCAGATGTGTTGTTCCGGGATGAAGATAGTTCAATGGTAGCTGGAATCACCGGTCTAAGGCCGATGAATGGAGCGCTGATCATGCCATACGCACCACATTTGCCCAGTTCCAAATGCGGACCGACTGCTCCGGGAGCTGGGGATTTGGGCCCCGCGTACGGACAGGGAACGGTCCGAGGTGTGCGCTGTTTACCGGAGGTTACCGCGATTCGCTATTCAGTCGGTCAGCTTTCACCGTCCCAAGGAGTTGGTGGCAATATGACAGTCACTTTGCTCAAAGGCAATACTCAAGACGTTCCGTTCAAGTCTCGTGGTTTGACTGAGCCTAATGGTTGGATGACCACCCTGGTAAACAATTACACCTTCGAAGTTGGATGGCGTAACGCACCTGCTTTCACCAATTTGAGTTACGTGGCCCATGTGGAGAACTTCCGTGTAAGGAATTTCGTGAATTCTGGTTCTTTTTATTGAAATTGGCTATCATACTGATTTGAACTGGCCTTCCTTCAAATTCCCCAACACAACATCCCCAATTCTTTTGGTCAATCATACGCTCGGAATAATAGGCTCGAGTTTCGCTCTTATTCGTGCTCATCAATAATGCATATCCACTTGTGGTAATCGGAATAGTATTGAATTTAGAAATACGAGAATCCGTACGTTACTGCTCAGAACTGAATTGGCTCCAACCCGAACTGCGGACATCAATGAAATATTTCATGAGAGCAAAAAGAAGCATCGTGATCACTGGATGTGTTGAATTCAACTATTTCGTGGTAATCTCATCAGCTGTGTACACATACAATCGGATCACGTTTGGTTAAAAGAGTGACAGGTTTTGGGACAGGCGAACACACGCGGGAAAGAGAAATCAATCAATACGAAGGCCAAAGAGGAGCCGGATTGGACGTTGGGGTATGGAGCGGAATCACTGCGGGGTGGGGGGGGGAGAAAGAGGGAGGAGGACAGTGACAACGACCAGGGCAACGCGAGGCTTGACACAAATTCGGTCTGTTTACACAAATCGGGCTTGTAACGTCGAATGGCAGCCGCTTCAGCGAACCGTAATAGACGGCTACCTTTCTGACGGATCAAGACACGAAAGGCGTCCCTAGGCTCGTCACATTCTTTGCAATCTAATATATTTCAAATGGGAATTCGTCGTGTTTGTAGCAAATAAAGCGTGAGCTGAAAGGCTCGGAAGCACTGGACAGCTGTTTCGACCTGGTTGGGTCTCAACAGCAGTCCGAATCCTGTGATCATGATGCTTCTTCTTGCTCTCATGAAATGGTTAAAGGGAACTGGTTGTATGAAATTTCTAAACCAATTAAGTACACAGAGAATTGGTAGCAGCAAATGCTTATATTTATTGATAGAATTAGAACATGTTTTATAGAAGGTAATAGGCGTTTGATCGGTTGAAGGACCGTCGTCCAATCACGTAACCGTTTTCGCCGACGCATCGCATGTACTAACTCGGATGTTATGTTCGCCCGGTGTATCATTGGTCGAGCTTCCTGAAGGATAATTGGATGACATGAAGCTGTACTTGGGATTGACTGGAATGCGGTCAGGGAAATCTGGATCACCACAAATTATTCCCCTCTTCGTGTTAGCCAATGTCTTTGACTCGGCTCTTGTTACTCTGCTGTTTAGTGCAACCCCGGTGGTTGCATGTGGCCAAAGATCATGTGTTATGAGCTCGGAATTCAAGGCGTTCTTATTGAGGAAAGTACAGGTACTAACCAAACTCATCCAACATCCTGATTTTCATCACATTTGCTCTTCTCAATGTTTCGTTTTCCCGCCTCATTCACGGGATTAAATATGCTACTACCCCACATCAGACGCAATGTACCCGTTTATCCCTTTGCTCCTATCACCCACGAGCCAATAAAATGTACAACTTCACGGTTTTGACAATGGTTCCTGGTGCATCACTTGTAAAATAGCAAAGTCACAGTAGAAAAAGTAACTAGTTGTTATTTATTTAAATGACGCATAGATGTGCGGTTATTGTACTTTCAGTATTCTGAATAATGCGTGAGTAATTTATGGCCAAATAATCTATCAATTTATTTAACCTAGAATATTTTCATTAATTTGCCTACTNCTGTGCACTAAATGAAAAGAAATGAGCAATTTAGAATATGCGTGCTCAACTTAATAAACACTCTCATGAAACAAAAATCATTTATCAGAGAGAATGAATTCCCATGCTGCTTTGCATAAAGTATTTTCGAAATCTCAGCTGTAACTTTCAAACTACTACAAATTTTATCGCAATACTCAAAGTCGCGCAAATTTAAACGGCGATAGAAGAGAACTTAGAACATAGAAGTGGGAGATAAAATCAGGAATGAATACACTTTATATCCATAGCCATCAATATATAGTTATACTCTTGGAGACTGGAATGTATTTCCAGAACGAGAGGAACGTTACACTAGCTTGATCAAAATTTGCAGTGCAATTTTTAGGCCGTCCTGAATGAATTTCCAGGACCAATTAGATTGGTATCATGCGTAAAACTAGCCACACTGGGATCCAAAACTTGTTTTGATACTCTTGGTTATATTTTTGATTCCCTGAGCCATGCTCTCGGCAACACATTGGTCAAGCGACAACACTGGTGGTTGAGGTATGCTGAGTTGTCACTACCTCCACTAACATTACTGAACTTTTCAGGAACTGTCATCGTACTCGATCCTTGAGAGATTTTCTCACGTGTATTACGCTTGTGTCTCTTTTAGCCAGGAGATTATGTTATCGTCCGTCATAGTGGCTTTGCAAAACAACCGGATCGTGTTCAAGTTCTGGCCAATCAAAAACCGATAGCTCCTCCTACGGTGCCTTTGAATCCGGCTATCAACGAGACCGGAAGTGTTTACTTTAACGCTACCGGAAAATATGTGGAGTATTTGCGTAAGTGAAACAAAACGTGACGTGCAATTTCCACTTCTTAGATGAGATTTTCTTTGTGTCTCTGTCTAACTAACTCCATAAATAACACTTGACGACAAATTGTACAGTCAGGTAAAGACGGCTTTAGGAAAGTAATGAATTAGTTGATTTGATTAAATGACAACTACCTCGTGTAAATGAGGCGTGCGCTGCAAAGCTGGTTGATTCTCATCAGCAGTGTGCGAATCCATCAACCCCACTGCTGATCGAATCTGGGACCACGGCATAGGTAGAACGCAAGTATACTACCCACTCGGCCACCGGGCATGTGATCAGACCGTAACTCATTTCAGATATACACGATCCAAGCTTTTCGGTTCAAGTCTCACTTATACGACTAATTCATCATATAAAAACAGCTTTACTAAAATACTTTAACAGTAAACATTGCGAGAGTAATTCCTTTCGTATAGTCTCATCGGTCGCGTATCTAATATTGAACAAGGTAGACAAATGAGGCGAATTAAGAAATCTGGTTAATATTAAACATGTATGTGTGCGCGTGTAATTGTGTAGTGTGCGTGTGATGCACGTGATTGGCTACAACCAGGGCAGGCCAAGGTCATACACTTTTGGACGCACAGTGTGGGTTTTTGTTGTGAACGATCGATAATGAATCCAGTCTCTTTATTCGGTGTTTGTCACGATTACGTGACAAAATCGAGAACGCGTTCGCAAGGTCTAACCTGTGGCAGCTTCCAACCAAATGACGTGCGATGGCCGAAGCCGGGCTGCGTTATGTGGTCAGAGTCTGTGGTGTGGGTTGCCATAGGATCACGCACATACTTCGGGATGTGTTCAGCCATTCTAGTCCGCCGTGATCTGTCCGTTCTACCAATGAATGCCTCGTTGCAGCTGCAACAGAAGGCGTAAATGTAATGAGAGGTAGAGTCGACTGGAGGAAAAGCTTTGAATAGGGTGAGGGGGAGGCGCCGTGTGATCGGATGGAGTCTTAATGTGGCANAAAGGATAATAATATCCTCCAAATAATGTTCGATTTCCTTCGGGGGATCCCATACGTAGTCAAAATTTCATAAACTTGTCGTTGTTTCCCTTTCTGATTAAACATAGTGATATAAAACATGATCCCGCAAGTCCGAAGACAAACACTGCGAGAGGAATTATTTTCGTATACTCTCATCGGTCGCGTACATTTAACATCGAACAAGATAGACAAATGAAGCGAATTCTGAAATCTAGTTAGTTTTAACCATGTGTGTGATTG